GGGGGGGGGGGGGGGGGGGGGAGAGGGTCTCTCTATTCTTGGTATCGTGCCGCGCTAACCTGCTGACCAAAGAAAATACGTCAGTCTCAGCACGGTTATTGGAAGTCTCAACGACGACGTATCTACGCATACGGTAAGCCGCATGTCGCCATCGCGCTGCCGATCCGATCCGCACGATGCCGTTCCATAACTCGTCGCTGCTGTTGCGAACCGCATCTACCGTTAACAAAAAATAACCAGCGCTGCATAGTGTATAGTTGCCGTTGACAAGGGAACAGGCAGCACGCGTCCAGCCCCAGAAACACTGGCGCCACTCACGCGTCACTGGTGAAGCAACCCCGTACGCATACAACATCAGTACACCAACAAGAGAAAAGGCTATTCGCATCCATGTATGCATGCAAATGAAAGGATGGAGACTCTACATAATAACCATGCAGACAACTTGTTCGCGATCACCCTCCCTCTCTGCCCGCTGCGCCGGCCTTGCCATAAAACGACTGCTGGGCCAAACCAAAATACATGGCGACGAGGTACAACATGGACCACAAAAAAAAAAAAAAATGCAGCAAAAACGAATACCAGCATGAACCAACACCACGAACAACTCACGGTGGTGCTTGCGGTGGCGATGACGCCGTGGCCCTGGTCGATCTTGTCAGAACGACGAAAGGGTGCCCCATCAGCTGCTCCACCGTGTACCGCTCCGGGGGCTTGGTGGACAAGCAGGCGGCCATGAACGACGACGCCCCCCAGGAAATGTTTCTGAAAAACAAAATGCAACCACAACAATAACATGACGTGTAAGAAAGGTTGTTGTTTGTTGACATGGGTACGGTGTCCGAATAGAGAGCACCTTCAGCATCGGTTTGTCTGCATTGCCCCCATTTGTACCTTCTCGGTGCTGCTTTTGCGGTCCTGCGCGCAAAAGTCAGCACCTCGCTCGCGTCTCACAATCAAGTCATCCGCCTACGTCTACCTAGATGCGGTGGGGTTGGATGCCGATGACTTTTTGTTTTCTTCAATGCTCCCGTTGCGGTACCGGCCGCCGTAGATGGCGTTTATATTAAAACTCTGCAAGTGTCTCGTTTTCTGCTGCTTCGGCTCGTTTTCTGTAGCTCTTTCGACAACAACGAATATGCCCTCCACCCCCTACCCCCCTTCCGCGGGAGGTGATATCGACAGGGCAGACAGGACAGGGAAAACATTCTCGAGCCACTTCTGGCAAAGTAGGAGAAAACGATTGGGCATCGGTGATCGGTCCTGTGGGAACAATACTCAGTACTCTCGAGGACACCTGGTCAATGGTCTAAACCGTTGAGGCATGCAAAACATTAGAGTACGTCCACCCCTCCCCCCCCCCTGGATGCCCAACCAAACCCATGGCATATCTGGTTTGGCACAACAAACGCAAGGGCGATGACCAGCTTGTGGGTCTTCCTTGTGAAACGTAGCCTTGGCCGGCGAAAAACCCGGCATATCGATCCCTCCTCCGTCCCGGCATCGTTGTAGGGATAAGAGGTCAATGCTCTAACGACGACGGCATGCGTTTACATGAGAGCACACGCCCCCCCCCCCTCCCTCACCGGTTGACGGGGGGCTTGTCCCCGGACACTATCTTGAACATCGCGCACAGGGGGTTGGGCATGTTCGGCCAGGGCATCTTGCCGGTGAGCATCTCGACCACCGTGCAGCCGACGCTCCACACGTCCGCCTGCAGCCACCCGCCCGGGAGCAGGTGGTTCTTGATCACCTCGGGGGCCATCCAGTTGGGGGTGCCCTTGAGGCCGCTCACGACGCTGTCCTGGTCCATGGGCTTGCTGGTGCCGAAGTCCGCCAGCTTCACGGCGCCCTTCTTGGAGAGGAGAACGTTCGCGCCCTGTTTTTTTTTTTTTTTTTGTGGTCAGGAGCGAAAAGCCTCTGTAGTGGGTGGTGGGCGTTGCGGACTTTTTTGCACCGGGCGGAATTACCCGCTCTGAATACAGTCATTGTTGAGCAACACAGAGATAAGTATTGAGCTATATGCTATATACCACCATCAACACCGCCAACAACAACAAAATTGGACGTGTGAAAACACAAAAGCGCAACAAAAGGCCACAGGGAAAGATTGAACCTGTCATGCTATGTACATGCAATGTGGCCGCCACCGCTGCATGGGCATCGCAAGGGAACAAAAGACCAGAGCAGCGAAGGTGATAAGCGATGACTTATACCCAACCCCCACGAACACAGCCCGCCATCCTACAGCCAGACTTCCACCTTTTCGTCCTCGAACCTTCAAGATCCCTGCCCTCGTCAAGCCCACGGCCCTCTTTCTATGGGCCTTGGCACCTACCCCACTACCCCACGCCGCATAAGGAGAGAGCACAATCTGACTCCGAACAACAACAAAAAAATGTCACCAGTCTCCGTCTAGCCCCCCCTTCCCCCCCCCCCGCCCAACGCCACGCTCGCGCGCGCAAGCACCCGGCGGCGCGGTCCTCCGCCTCACCTTGATGTCACGGTGCGTGATGTTGTTGGAGTGCAGGTAAGCCAGCCCGCACAGGACCTTCCTCGTCACGACCGCCGTCTGGCGCTCGCACATGGGGCCCTCCCGGTCCAGCCGACGCCGCAGGCTTCCCCCGTCCATGTACTCGAGGAAGATGTTGAGGTGGCCGCCCACCTGTGCTCGTCGTTGGGGGGGGCGACGTGACGTGACGTGCCGTGATGATGGGGGTGGGTGGTGGGGTCTCAGACTAGCTAGGCCGTGCAAGAGTATGGCAGGTCTTTGTCAGAGGTGGGAAAGGAGGATTGGCTAGGACCGCGGGGGGGATTTTTTTGGGGGGAATTATGTACTGGTAAATATTTTCCCATCACTTTAAATCAGCGCTCACAGCATCTCTGCCGTGTAGAAGCTCCAATCCGTGGTCACACAGAAGGGTTCCTCTCCCTCCACCCCTCCGGCGGTGCTCGCCTTGGAATAATAATATTCAACGCGAAGAACACCATCAAGGAAAGCCCGCGGGGTAAGTCTGACTCTAAATGCAAATGGGGCCCTGAAAAGCTTAAGGAACCAAGGGGGGGGCAGGGGGAGGCGGCCACCACCATCACCGCTGCCACCACAAACTACTCTGCCTCTTCGCCGCCGGCTCTTGCGTTGAACGATCGACTGACCGATAGATGGTCGCGGGGGGGGGGGGGGAGGGAGAGAGGGAGGGCCGAAGGAAATCTCACCCTCTGGACGCCCAAGAAAGATACAACGTTGGGATGCCGCAGTCGCCGCAGCACGCCGATCTCGTTCTCCGCCACCTGCGACAACCATCACACGGCACGGCACCACCACACCAAGATCGAAAAAATAAAATCAAAAATAAACAACAGATGCAAAAAGCGAGACGGCCGAAGCGCGACAGAGAGAGTTATTCCGCACAACATAAAAATACCGCCGAAAAATTGTCGGTGAAAAAAACAAAAAAAGGGTTGTGCCGATGCGTTCTGCTGTTACCGCTGATAACGTGAGGGGAGGAGATACGCCACCCCGGAGACCGGAGAGAGGTCCGGGTCGATTCTCGGCAAGGACTGGCCGAAAAAAAAACGCAACCCCGCACGACGTCCAGCGGTGGACCGACCCACCCGGCCCCACTTACGTATCTACAACTGGGGACTAGAGTTGATGTGGGTCGTTCTTCTAGCCGACGTACGAGGCCGGCTACCATGGACATAGAGACGACCCTTGATGTTACACACGGCCGCAACGTTTTCTACGCTTACTACGTAAGGTGGGAGTGAGAGTGGATGTTGGCCGATTTTGGGGCGCTGTTGCGCTTCCGCAACCTGGGTGTGACAGCTGTTGCCTCTTCCCGAAACTTCACTTTCCGCTATACACCCTCGAAGGAGTTGACGAACTCGCTCGAGACTGCTGCGCCAGGGTGGAATACGTAGGCGTAGGTAGCATGGAGGTTTCCGCAATTAATTTTGGATCGCCAATACGGTTCCAGTGAATGAAGCGCCTACATCGAACAAAGACGCCCTGTGCATGTATCTACCTCCAACTCTGTTTGAAGTTCTCCGGAAGATCCTCCCACACTTGAATTTTCAGCGCTCTTGTACACAATTTCACAAAAAAAAGCGATCCCGTCCAAACTGTTCATGGTACCGAGCTGTAGAGACTTGCCTAAACGATTCTTCTGAGGGATGGCGAAATATCAATATTGGATCACTTCTATTGCTCTACAGTTGTTGAGGCATACCGGCCTGTTCCTAATAATCCTGCACGAAAGCGGCCACTGCTGCTGTGGGCGCTCTGTTGAATGGATGCCTTGTCATCATATTATTTACTTGAAAAAAATAACGCATTTTTTTTTGCGGGGGCTTTGCAACCCGGGCGATGTCACCAACGACAGACACACCATCACCGAAGAATTTCTGGAAACATTGTTCACAATAGAGCGCTCTGGTCCCCACCCAGAGCCGAGGGGACGGCCCCGCATGTAGGCTGCAGTCGTCTCTCCTAAACCGCAGGCTACACAACCTTTTCGACCCCAGCTGATTCGTCAAGTGATGAGAAGCAGCCGAGAGGGAGGGGGTGAAGGCTAGACTTGCCGCCATTTAGTTGAAGGGAGGGAGAAGTCCTTGCAGGGAAAATTCTAGTCCACATAATATACGCAATCGACTCAGCAATATTGTATTGTGTGTAGACTAGACTACAGCAGGCGTGCAAGACGGCACGCGGTGGTATCTACTGCCAGCCGCGCCTTGCGCCGCTTGCGTGTCCCCCGCCGAAGGTCGCGCCCGAAGCACCGTACATTCTGCGACGAACGCCACCACCCTGGCAAGGAGAGGACCAAAGACAAAAAAAATACCAAAATCAACCAAAAATCACCATCCATGATGATGATGGATGCCGAGATCGAGCCACCACAGACTTGGCTGGCTAGCCGTCTGTGTCCTTCACACCTGTAGCTCCGACCTCTGCATCCGGGTCGTGAGGATCTGCTTGACGGCGATGCTGTCGCTCGTGCCTAGCACCAGCGCGCGGTAAACGGTCCCGTGGGCCCCCCGGCCCAGCTCCTCGCACTTGACCCACCGCTGGCCATATCCGAAGCTTCCGACTTCCCCGTCGCCGCCGGCGCCGCCGCCTTTTTTTTCTTCTTCCGACGACGATGATGTTCGCGTTGTCGTTGCATCGTCAGCTTCGGCCGGCACCAGCGCTACTGCGTCCACCGCGGCTCCTCCTTCTCCTGCTGGACTACTGCTGCTGTCGTAGTGGAGAGCAGGAGGATTGTAGCAACTCGCCGCCGCCGCCACCGCCTCCATCATGATTTTGTACTTCTACCTTTCTTCAAGGCGCTCCTGGTGACTAATGCTGCTGTTTGTTACATGCCTTGTACTCCTTTATGCACAGGTGACCACAGAGGGCGGGAGAGACAGAGAGGTGGATGAGGGATCCTATGCTATCAGTCGCAACGGCGTGGCCGATTGGGGGTGGCTGGTAGAGATCGCACGCCTCGGAGACACGGGGGGGTACCGACTCGCTAGCGAACTCCTGCGCGAGAAAGGTGTGTGTTTGCGCGCCCAACCAGCAGCAGCAGCAGCAGCAGCTGACGTAACGAGTGCGTGTACGTGACAAGGCCCGTTTGCTAAGTAAGAACCACGCACGCAAGAAGTGCAACGAGAGTATTACTTGTTGGTGTTAGAGTACAATGTGCACTTTACTTCCCGCGCGCGCACAAGCACAACGCACAACAGACGATCCGCACATGCGCACGTACGTGTTTTGAAACGGAACATCAGGCCTTCCCTGTACTCTATCCCCACCTCTCACCTCTCGTCCATTTACAATTTGGGATCCGACAAAGAAAACGTTGGTACCTCTGTCCGCCAGTCTGTTCTCTGTTGCTCCCTGTCGATCCGAGCAACATCAACTATCATCGCTGGTACGTTAGACACTTGTGGTTGCGTGAAGCAAGTTTGATTGCGCCGCTTTTTTTTTTAGTGCTGTTTTTTTGGTGTAGGTCTTTTTTTTTTTTTGGTCTTCACTTCAAATCAGCGCTCACAACACTGGTGCCGTTTACTCCAACCCGTGGTCACACAGAAGGGCTCCTGTCTACCCTACCCTCCTGCGGTACTTTGCCTTGGATTTGTAATGCGAGAAGAGTTCAGCACTCTCTTCCCTCTGTGTACACACGAACTAGCGCTATCCACTAGGCCAGGAGCGGAAGCGAGAGGAAAACTCACTTTGCAAGAAAAGCTCTCTGACGCCAGGATTCGAACCCTTGACCAAACCTTTAAAGGTGTCGAGGATACCAACTAGACCACCGGGGCAACCGACAGTCTATGCATTGTACGCGTTCGAGCCTCTCTTGCTCTTCTCTGCCCCCTGCCCCCCGCGCATATGCATATGCATAGCAAAGAAGACGAACGAACATCCCCGCGCAGCTTGGCGCGTAGTGTAGTATTCGTGCCAACTGTACATTTATTTTCAGCACAGAAAATAAATGCAGGTTGGTGAACGAAGAATTGTCTCACACCTACATACCTAGTCGGCTTTCCTCCACTCACTGAAAAGACTCCACCACATCCCGTTCGACTGTGGGTACATCTCGAATGTGTAGTCTTTCTGTGTGTGTATTTATTTTTCCTTGACACCTATGCATACGGTACTACTACGGAATTGGAAAAAGAAGCAAACGACCACTGCATGAAACTACAGGACAGGAGAAAAAGATCCCTCTTGTTGTGAACGGAACAAACGTGAAGACAACAACAACAACAACAACAACAACACACAGGTAGGGAGAGGAGAAACAGTGTCAAAAACGAACAACCAACGGGCGTTGTGGTTGTTGTGGCGACATTGTCTCTGGCTTTCCAACTGGCTGTCTCTGGTTTCTCCCCGTGGATTTGCTCGGAGACAGCAGCAGTACAACGTTTTTGCGTTTAGCGAGATCTTGCTCTCTCTAACACTGATGCTGACTTCAGGGGGGTTGAAGATTTACCTGAAGGCTCCGGACTTCACCGTCCGCTCCAGACCTTTCGGTGCCCCACAGACACAGCAGTAATCTCGCTGGAGGGCACGAGCAACAGAGCACACAGAGTGCTTTCGAAATAAGATTCGCACATCAACAAGTGAACAGGAACGACGTCAACAGCAGCAGTGACCACGTCAAGACCTAGACTATTTATCACACATCCCGGTTCTTCTCGCGTTCCCTTGGAGAGTAATGCTACTGCTGTGTGTGGTGAATCAAGACGACAGGGTGAGATAGACGCCCGCAAGAGAACGAAAGAAACTCGACCCGCCTCATGCGGGCACACCGGCATGTGGATAAACGTTGAAGAAGCAAGATTGCGATCTTCCCATCGAGTTCTTGCAAAATCGCGCATCCGTTCTTGTCTTGCATTAAAAACCGTTCCGATCTCTCGTTGTAATACATCCATGAGACTAAATAAGAAAGAGACATAAACCACTCCGCCCATTCTCCGCCAGAATCGGTCCCAGTCCCTGAGCCCTTTTATCATTACGACCGAAACACTAACCGTCAATAAGCGATGCGCGCCAGCGCGGACAAAAATCAAGCACTACAAGTACTCTAAACGGGAGCAATTTCTCACACAACCTCCCCGTTCGCCCTCCCCGCACACAACCCCCCCCCCTACTACGCTCTCAGGTGGCCTGTTGCAGCCGCCCCGTTTCCAAGGACCCCGCTCTTAGAACACTACAGAGTAAATAGTTAATAGTTACGCATCCCGACGCAGCTTCTTGATTCTTCTTGGTGCGTCGGAAAACTGACTTTTTGCGTTGAAGAATCAAGCTCTTAACTCCTTCGGAAGGAATCATTCATGAGTAAATATATTTTCAAAAATGAAAAAAGAACATGCCGGTCTCAGTGTCTCTCGTGGTGCCACTTTGGTTTAAAGTGGCGTTCCCCGTATTCCACGCACCCCTAAAAAATCTCCGACATCACACCACACAGAATCACACGATCACCACCAAACTACTACCCTGATCAGCTGGCTCAGCTTGAATTTGAACAGAGCTAGCTTGTAGACGGTCCGCGCGAACCATACTTTCTAAAAAAAATAAACTAAAGTCAAAACTACTACCAGATAGATACAAGCGCCCTGACGTCGGAGTCAGCCCAACAAACTCAAGCCTGGATACCCAGCCCCCCCCAAACAGTCCTCCTGTTGCACACTCCCCATCCTCTCTCCACATACAACGATAGGAGGTTCCCCGCAAACAACATAACTCAAGCTTCCTGCAAGGGCTTCTTGTTCTTCGACTTGTAACAAACGCCGTTTGTTTGTTTCCATCTTGCCTACTGCTTGAAAGTAACAGCTTGCTTGGACACAAGTATTAATCAATAGACAAAACACACAAGAACAACAAAACGAAAGGTGAAATACTTTAAAAAACGTGTATCGCATGAACAAGGGAACACATGACTGCATGTAACTACTGTAACCCGATACAACAAACACCTGTGCACCTGCCTCGTCTCGCTTTTTGCGAACACGGTTAACCCCGCCCGCCGTTCCCGAGTCACAGACAGGCTCGTGTGACACTCGTTCCCTCCCTTGGTAATAGTGACCATGCCACTCACGAGGTGGCGTTTCAGAAAATAGTCGCACAGCTGCAAGAGCCACGCCATTCCGCCGCGTCAGCGGCAACGCGCGGTACTAATCAGACTTCGAGAGTTTAACGCCCTCGACGCACGCCCTAAAAACTTGCCGAATCTCGATCCCAGGCACCCAACACCACTTACATAGTGGCGCACCGTCTTAGTGTGTACCCCCAGCCGCAGGATTAACATACGAAGAAGCACAACTTGAGCTTCATCGCTCAAGCTCAAAAAGAGAATACACCCGCCAAAGAGCCCACGTCTACAAAAAAAAAAAGAAGTCAGCAACCACAAGGCATCCCCCAGCACTCGCGGTCACGTCGACACAAGTACCGCAGACAGGGCAGAGACCAAGCAGGACCCCCATCACGGGCAGCCGACACCAAAATTAACAACAGTACTTCAGTTACAATATGCATACAACAACAACGTAGTGGTTACACAACAAGACGGGAGCTTCGGACCTCTCGCTCGAAGCAGCAGCAACATCGCAGCAGAACAGCAGCAGCAATCAATCGCACCCGCAAGAACAACCGAAAATTCAACAGCGGTCCGCTACCCCCCTCGCGCGCGCCTGTCCATCCACCCGCGGTGCCCCCCGATCCCTATGCCTCAACGCCAGCATCAGAAGCAACAACTCATATACCAGTCCGCCAGAAAAACAACTGCCAAAACCAAAAATCAGTCCGAACCGACCCAAGGCGGTGCCACCACCAGGCCAAAAAAAAAAGCCGGGCGTCGCCGCCCCAGTTGGCCACGCCAAAAATCTTTCGGCGACGACGACGCCAACAAAGGAAAGGACCTCCCGCCCGACCCGGCCATAGCGACGCCCCCCAACACCGCTGGCCGTTGCGACTGCCTGCCTAACCCCAACTCGAAAAAACGACGACGAGGACGACTACGGAGCCGACGCCGACGCCGCCGCCGACGCCGCTGTGTCCCCGAACAACCCGTTCGGGCTGAGGTTAGCCGGCGCCGGCGCCCACCCGCTATTCCCCGACGACATGTTACTGCCCAACCCGGACCTCGCTCCCCCGGATCCGCCGCCGCCGCCGCCGCCGCCGAACGCAACTTCGCCGTTTTCCCGCGGCGGCGGCGTGCGCGACCCTGCTCCCGCTCCCGCTCCGGCAGCAGCAGCGGCGGCGGCGGCGGGGGTGCCCCCGCCGCCACCGGCGCCGGCCCCGCCCTCTCCCTCCTCCTGGCTCTGCTGCTGAGAGGAGGGCAGGTCAGGCGTGTCCACCCGGAGGTAGCGCACGTTTCGGCCGGTGAGGTAGTCCGTCTTTTCGACCACCATCGTGTCCAGCCGGAGCCAGGCGCGCGGGGTATGTACCTCGAAGGTCTAGGAGGGTACGGCGGCGTGGGCGGGGGTTTGACGCGGGGTCGTAACAAGAACAAAACGCACCAATGTTTTTTTGAGGAGCGGAGAATAGGGGAGGGTTAGGTGAGAGGGTCGGTCCGTCAAGGGTTGTTGCCTCGAATGCTTCAAACGAACAAGTGAACGGCACAGAAACATACCCCACCCGCGCACGCACACGCCTGCTGCGCGGCTGCTGCTTTCCCCGACGACGACCATAACCTCAAAAAGCATCCGAGGCGTGCGTATCTCAGCAATCGCGCTTGGACGAAGGTACGCACGTACATATCAGCCCATGCACGTGTCCGAGACTTCGGCTACTTCTCGGGGGACACATGAATGGGCTGATACGTGCGCACCTTCGTCCGACCGTGATTTTTCTTTTTGCTAAGTTGTGCGACGCCTCGGATGCTTGTTGAAGTTCCCGGTTTCAACATAGACACAACTGACTACTGGGCCCTATATCGGCGAGGAGGAAAAAACACCCCTCAAAAACGGGCTCCGCCCTAGTCATGCCTCCTCAATCAGGCTCAACTCCTTTGCCTCCTCAGGCGCTAACGTGGCAGAAAACAGTCTCATTCTCTCGCGCGGGGTGAGTGAGTGTCGTACAGCGCACGCCCCACTCTGTATGCGCAAGCAGGGACGTGCGTATGTATGTAACGTGCTCCGCGCGCTCCAGCAGAGGGAGACAACGAGGTGCCCGCACGTTCTGGGTGGCGCCCGCACGTTCCGAGTGGTGCCCGGGCGCTCGACAGCGCCTGTGGTTTCGGGCTTGGCGGACGGCTCGACGTCAACCACACCACCATGCTCTCGTGTATGGACCGCCTTCGCGGTAAAACAAGTTTTTTTATGAGAAGGTAGAACAGGGAGGGGAGACGCAGACCCTATTCCCTACCCCACCTTCCCCGATTGTATGCTGTGTCCAACATGTTTACAAAATACAAACACCCAGCTGGGTTTAATCTGCATGAGCGAGCAGGGATGTACTTCGCATGTGACGTACTCCGCGCTGCTGCGTGCGGAGGTCGTTCGTGTCGGATTTCGGGAGCGCGTCAGAAGCGTGTTCTTCGCGTTTGGCTTGGTCTCGAACGGGGGAAAATGAAGGAAGTTGGGCCTGATCGAGGAGGCGTGACAAGGGCGGAGCCCGACTTGAGGGATGTTTTTTTTTCCTCGCCGATACAGGGTTCAGTTCGATTGACACTGGAAATTTCACGAGCATCCGAGGCGTAGAATACGCGCTTAGGTACGCACGTTATCAGCCCGTGCAGGTGTCCAAGAACCGTGGGTTGTACTCCAATGTACTGCCACGTAGACAATTTAGTGTGCGCGTGTCCGCCCTGCTGTACCATGTACCAGTATAACATGTGCGTACCTGTGACTCCGCCTCGATCTCGTCGAGGCTGAACAGGCCGTAGTAGTTCGCGCACGCCACGACGCTGTGGATGCTATTGTCCACCAAGAACACCTTCTCGCGCATTGGGGCGGGGCGGGGCGGACGGGCGGGCGGACACACAACCAACACCGGCAGGCAGCCAGGCAGCCAGGCAGCCAGGAAGGCAGCCAGGAAGGCAGGCGCAACAAACAGGCGGTCAGCGCGCGCTACAAGGAACTCGGCGCGTTGTTCCGTGTTGGCGAGGAGGGGGGGGGGGGGGGCTACACAAACGTGGGGGAGAGGGAGAGCTGTCGCAACCCGTTGACGAGCGATATACTCTTAGAAACCAACTCTACATGTAACGTACGTAGCGTTCTACCATCAACGAGGCGACAGCAGTACTGCTGTATCATGGTACAGGCCACTGCTGTGCGGCCTATACCCTCAGCATGTTGCGTGAGACAGCATACGTCCCTTGGGGTCGGTTTTCAAAAGCCCGTTCGATGTGCACACAGCTACGGGGATGTGGCCAACCAACAATGCATCTTGCCAGCTCGCTCTCTCTCTGTCTCTCTCTCTCTCTCTTGACAAGATTTTTCCACAGCCACCCTCCTCGACAGACAGGCTTCTTGTGTTCAGGGTGTATCTGTCGAGCATTCTCATGGAACACATAGAAGTGCAGTTCCAAACACGGACGCGAGGCTCAGATCGACACACTTTCAAAAAGCACACCATGCAAGGTTGAACGTGGCAAAATCGAGCTTGGCGCAACTCAGGAAGCGAACGATTTCGTTTGTCGGAAGGCAGCCAAAGCACACTTGCATCGGAGCGTGGAAATCAAAAGGGAACGCCAACGAACCCGCTGTTTCGTCGCAAGTGCAAAGCAGCACACATGCGGTTTGGGTGTTCGAGTCCAACGAGACGCGCTCGCGAGCACGCACAAACTGACCACCACCACTGCTGTTCGCCACGAACACCGCCGACACTCTGGCTTCAACTCCCCCTACACCACCGTTCATCTCGCAACTAAAAAAACTGCCGCGTGCACACACCCTAGATAGATAGATACGCGTGTGGTATTCGCGTAAAGGCACATGACACACGGAAAACGTGCAAAACAGCACACATGCGGTTTGGGTGTTCGAGTCCAACGAGACGCGCTCGCGAGCACGCACAAACTGACCACCACCACTGCTGTTCGCCACGAACACCGCCGACACTCTGGCTTCAACTCCCCCTACACCACCGTTCATCTCGCAACTAAAAAAACTGCCGCGTGCACACACCCTAGATAGATAGATACGCGTGTGGTATTCGCGTAAAGACACATGACACATGGAAAACACACACACGCACACACCTCCACGTTGATCGCCGGCGGTCGTTCGGAGCGTTTCTTCAGGAGGTAGTCGCTGTTCGTGAAGAGCTGCTGCACCGTGAAGTACGAGTCCGACCCGCTAGTTGTTCGGCTTGCTTTGCACAGGACTCGCTCCACGATCTCGCTGTAAGGACTCGTCGTCACGGAGAGGGATAGACCGCGCGCAGTGCACACCGACAGACAGCAGTGGAGGTGACAAGATCGTGGGCGACACGACGAAAAAAAAATGCACAAAACATACAAAACGGGTTCCGGGGGAGGCAGGCGGGGGGGGGGGGGGTCTGGGTCTGTGGCGCATCCGTGTATGATAATCCCATCGCCTACAACCGCCCGTTGCCATCGTATCAAGAGCAGAGACACGGACGCAGACCGTCTTGCTAGCAGGACGGCAAGGAAGACGGGCAGCAAGCAGGTACTAACGCCTTTGGTCGGAACTAACAACCAGGCTCGTGGACACCTAAGCTTGGCAAGTCTTCCTGGCTGACTGCTCGTCTACATACTTCATAAAAATTCCTTAGAATTCGGGCAGTCTGCCTCGCGAACCACTCTGAACCAGCTGTTCGGTCGGCGACAACAGTTGCAGCTACTTGTGTCGAGGGGTATTCAGAACGCTTCCCCGGCAACCAAGGAGTCGGCACGTGCTTGTTTTTGAGGCGGGAGTAGGAATCGCAATACTTCCATTCACGTGTTCCAAGCAAAGTCGTGTCAGACAGCATAAGGGGGGGGGGGGGGGCAAAATGTCTACTACATGGGGCCCAAACTCAAACTTGCGCGGTTTTTGACCCCATTTATACCCCCCCAAACCCAAACCCCAAAAAAAAAAAAATCCCTGAATTACCCCCCTCCCCTTCCTGTCCGGCCCCCCTTGTAGGCGGGAAACTTGCTCAAAATCTCAACCACTTGTCAAAACGACCCCAAAAAAAACTCCCCGGGCCCCAAAAAAAAATTAACCCCCTTAAAAATTACCTGAAAAAAAAAACCCTAGGGGGGGGTGTACCCCCGTAAGGGGGGGATGCCTGTCCCCACAAAAACGCCACGATCAAAACTGGGGGAGGGATGTAACGGGCCACGAGAGTTAATCCTGTTCTTCCGTGCCGTATGATTTTCTGTGCCTCATGTAAAACATGGGGGGGGGGGGGTACAGCGATATGTGTCCCCGGGGTTTCACAGATATATGTTAACAGGCGCCAAGCTTGCTATCCCAATTACGGCACTTACGTGAAGCCTCGAGAAAGGCGATGTTATTTAGACGTGGATTTACTTGAACGGGTCCCATGGGATTCAAGCATGACTGTACAACACGTTGTGTCCCGAAGTACATAGCCACGGCACGGTTGCTTTTCGCAGCTGTTTCGAGTGAGGTGTGGCACCTTTCACACCTGACACAACGCTGGAGCACCGCCACTCAAGCATTACCGTGGACAACATCAAACTTCTTGTACTGCTGTTCGACCCCGCCCCACGGGGCCTCAGGGGGGTGGTTTCGGCGCCTGACATCTACGAGTGTCGAAGTCTTCATTGGGCGTGAATGCAAGCGCCAATGGGCAAGGACGCCACATCTCCCGAAGTGACTTTTATCCTCGACATTTAGTAGTGCAAATCGAACAATAGCAGAAATCATAGGCAATAAACACACCCGCGAAGGAGTACGTTTACCCGAGCACCCACACCGTTTGCATGGGTGCACATCTTGTTCTTGATGCGATGTCTCAGGTTTCACAAACTGTTGTTCTGAAATCTATCCGGTCATACGGCCCGTTCAGGGTATCGGTTCTAATCTTCACTACAAGATTTGTTTGAGGTGCGAAAACGACCATTGCAGCTGATAAAATCCTGACCTGAAACACTAAAACAGTGGTACGCCCCTAGAGGACATCGCTGTGGGGCAGCCACACTAGGTATTTTTGTGATTCCGGAAGTTGTGTATGTATGTGGCGGTAGACTGCGTCCATATGTGTGTTGGTGGAGACCGTCCCAACCGCTGCTCTGCGCAACAGCCAACGGATACGGGAATTTGAATAGGACAAGCAGTCACATTCAGCACACACCCACAAAAAAAGAAGTGCATGGCATCATCTGTCGCTCCAACTCCGAAGCCGAGCCCCAAACCTATTCCAAAGGAGCGAGCGCCATAAGAACCAAATTAAAGTAAAAAGGCGATCCTCGAACCCCAACGAATCCGGGCAACAGCAGCCGGGAGTGGGTTCATCGTTGGGTTCTCCGCGCCAGCGGCGCAAACCGCTTGTCTGTGCGCGACACGACGCCGGAGGCCCGAGAAGAGCCCATCTAATACTTGTAGTAAAAAGAAGACAAAACTTAAACTTGACACACCTGCCCTGCAGCACTGTGTATTGTTGTTGCGTACATTCTTCCGTGTGTGTCAAGAAAGTCGAACAAAAAAACGGGGTGTCTTCTCAGCCCTGGAAAGCTGTTGCCGAGCCTTCACGTCTACCCGCGAAGACCTCCATAATAACACATCCACTTGAGGCCTACAGCAGTATCTCTCGGGGGGTACAGCAGTACTGCTGCTGCTGTACTGCTCTGAGTGCAAGTCCCTCTTCAACTGACCCCCCCCACGGGGAAAATGTGCGGCCGCGTGGTTGACGGTTTTTTATCAAGAGCAAAAAATGGGCAGATCCCTCGCGCCCGCCGGTGCGTACCGAGAGGAAGGAGAGGGTCGACCACTGACAGCGGCAGCGCACGCAGAGGAGTGAGAGCTACCGTGAACGAATGATGAGTCCACGTCACTGTAGCACACGGCAAACGATAGCTTCCGTTATCACACGACGATGGTGCAACAGCTTCGTTGTTAGCCCGCAAACAGAGTTTGTTGTGATGTTGTGTGATGTCCTCAGCTTGCTGAAATCCAGCAGCGATAAAACAGACGGCAACGCCCAACAGCAGACGGCGCAGCGCGCACCGCAGAACGTAATGTGCAAACCCAACACTCGTGTAGACAGCGCCCCCCCCGCCCTCCTTGCTCACATTCTCTCGCAGCAAGTCGTTGATGGCCTGCTTGGACTCGACGTTGCTGTCGTTCAACGGTATGCAACTGAAGTGCTCCGGGAAGTTTTGAAATACCGTCAGCACCGAGTCCCGGTTCCCTTTCCGGCAGAGGGTTTGCACCGTTTCGATCACCGCCTGGTTCATCCTAGGCCTTTCTTCTACGGTGTGTGTGCGTGCGACACAGCAGCAATTCTTCGTGTGTGGCGCGGGAACAAACAAAGAGAGCGGTCAAACACAGACAGGGGTCAGCTGTCGGGTGTCCTGTGGGTAAAGGGTGCGGGGCGGGGGGGGGCCGAAGGGGGAACGCGGATGTGGGCGACAGTCCCGCCGGAGCGTTGCAGTCAAGCCGGCCTCCCGCATGCAGCCAGCACCACAGGCAAACGCTATCGTAGGATGCATGGGAAGGAAACACACGCACACACCGCCGTTGCTGCTTGAGAGAGAGAGAGATAGAGAGAGAAGGGAGGGGAAGGAGAGAGAGGGAGAGAGCGCCATGCCGGGAGGCGCGGCCCGACCTCCAGTGCCAGTGACGGTCTTGCGAGGGCACACGTCCGGCGTCCATGCGTCGTGTTACCTCAACGAGGATATTCTCCTGACCGGGTAAGCACTCGCAGCTTGCAGTAGACACCCCTCTTGAAAAAGAGTGTGACTTTTACCCAGTGTTATGTTTCGACAGGCACTGCAACGTGCTCCTTTGGAGGAAAAAAATTGAAGGTTCATATGCATAGAAGACGACAACTGCATAACTCCGCTGCTGCTTGCTGCGTGTCGTGGACCTACATGTAGACGACGCTGCTGTAGCCGTCTTGGAAGGGAAGGTTCGGTGCACGATACCTACTGCCGTAGTCTACGCTTACCGTATACGACACAAGAAATCACACCCCGGGGATAACATGGTGGCGGCATTTAAAAAACTATCACCGGGTGTTGTGTTCTGTGGGGGGGGTGATATCTTATGTAGCCCGAGTGACACGGTGCGGCTGTTGGAGCTACCGTATTACGTGTGCTAATGAACGGGGGTGATAACGGTGGACGTGATACACCCCCTGATCACATGATCCCGGCGATGAATGCCAACAGCGCCCTCATCAACTACAGCGATTTTGTTGCCATGCAACGAAAGACAATTTAATTCATCACTTCCGCCCGGTACAACAGAGAATACGCCAAGAAGGCGGAGAAGAAAAAGTTGTGTGTGCATTGAAGAACCCTGGATCAACGCGCTGCGAGGCAGAACCTTCCGTTACCCCCTCCCCCCCAAAAAAAACAAAACAATACTACTGAATGTATACTATGACCTGATCCTGACGGTGTTCAGCGACATGCACCTCTGAGCGTTATTTATTATTTTTGCCTTTGCCCTCCGCCGACTTAGCCCGGTGAGAACCCGGCGTGCTCCGTCCCGGCTTTGTAGGGATGCGAGGTCAATGGTCTAACGACTACGGCATGCACGACTATGAGTACAACCCCCAACCCCCCTGCCGACTTAGCCACCTGAGCCAGCGCGGCGTCGAACTTGCCGATGTTCTTGACCCACAACGCCGACGGGGCCTTGTCGGGGATCTTCAAGGCCTTGCTGGTGTACGTTATCCCTACAGTCCCAT